CAGGCAGGCAGGCAGGCAGGCAGGCAGGCAGGCAGGCAGGCAGGCAGGCAGGCAGGCATCATTTTCTTCAAAGAGTTATATTATGTCACATATGCCAAATATTTAACCTGCAAGAATCCATTTACAATCATAGAGATGTTAAAGATAAGGACAAATGACATTTATTCAAGCATTGCAATATTTATTTGTGAAGCCATCGAAGATTTCTAAGCTAGAATACATTAAATGTTTCTGTTTTGGATAAAATACAAAAGAAAAGGAGCCCCACCATATAAATAGCATCTGTAATTATCATGTGACTATTTTTGTGATAGCCTTTAACATCCTTATCACTTCAGATCTGTAAAGCTACTCCTATGCCTATTTAAATGAACATGTGCAAAAGCTCTAAGGTGTATCACGGAGCTGCAGTGGCTGAAAGCTTAATGCAATTCTTGTGATTAAGATTATTTAACCAGTTATGCTTAAATTCTCTAGATAAAACATAATTATCATTGCAGACTAGAATTGGGATCTTTATAATAAATAGAATTGCCACAAAAATTATTTAGTTATTACTTATTAAATAAAATTGCTATATATATATGCTATATACAAATAAAATCACACACCTCTGCCCATCTCAAGCATTAAAGATTTGGAAAAATATTGAGGAAAGTTACAAAGATTATGAGAAAAATAGCAATAATGATTGAAAGATTTGAATATATTATATTATTTGTTCAAGCAAAGTTTTAGAGCAAATAAGCTTTTTCACTGCCTCTTTTATCATAAGATATTCAGAACTAATTTATCCAGAGCAATGTGTCTGACTTCCTTTTTAGAAGACCAAGAGCAAATTTCATTCAACTGTCTCCCTATGCCTATTTGTAAACCACCATCCATACACACACACACACACACACACACACACACACACACACACACATATACAGGTCTTTATGTATGTATGTATGTATGTATGTATGTATGTATGTATGTATGTATGTATGTATAACTGCTACTCTATAGATCTGTTTATCAATACATCAGAGCTAACAGAAAAGAAATAGCTTGGTGAGTAAACATTGTATGTCTCGAATAAGTTATCTTGCTAGATGAATTTGACATAAGGAGAATGGCAGAAAATCAGTTTGGCGTGAATTTGTTGAGAAATCAAGAGGACTCAGTTATCCAGGCAATTTAGAATATTCTATAAGCAAATTCTACAAAACCATTATGAATTTCAGTTAATTAATTTTGAATGTTAAAGCACAATATTCCAAATGGAACCAATGCTGCATTTCGCTTAGAATCTTGATCTCCATGACTAACTGACAAGAAGCTGCTCAGTGTTTTATCTCTACATTTAATTCTCCCTGTCACTTCTTTGCTTCTCTCCCACCCCCAATCTTTCCCCCATAATTGATCAGCATCTGTTGAGTCACCTTTACCCCCTCTGACGTACTTCTCCCTCTTCTGACGGGCATAGTCATGTCATCCAATGCCTTTATAATGGAATCTCCTTTTTGAAACCAGTCATAACCGTAGGCCCCAATATGAGAATCAGCACAATAACCGGAGAAAGGAAGGAGGAGGAAGAAGAAGAATAAGTTTACACCACAGTGGACTAGAGGAAAATAGGGCATTCAGGCCAAAGTACTTCTGATTTACAGATTATCCTCCCTAAGGCAATTTTTCTCTCAATTTTTCTTTTCCAGTGGTGATGCCTGGATGGATGGCTAGTTCACTGATGCCTGCCTCCCTGGATAGTGATAGTCACAGTCTCAAAGAGAAGTTGAGAATCTGGTAAAATGGCAAGAAAGGCAACAGTTCTCAAGACCCCAGAGAAAAGCCAGATATCCAGCTTCCTTTCAGTGCTGTACCAGACCCTACATGAGCCTAAACTAACCTGCTCAGGGGTCTTTTGAGTCAAAAGTGCTTTGTAAATGTGCCTGTCCCTTTAAAGAAAGGGAACGCTGCTTCTCACATTCTGCCTCTGTGGGTGAACACAAGGTGCTGAGATTGAGCTGCTTGAGAGAGAGAGAGAGAGTAAAGACGATCCAGTGGAAGGAGGAAGAAGGGAAAACCTGCTGGAAAAAAGAAAGAGGTGAATTGGGGCAGAAATGAAGATAAGTGAAATAAAGGCAACAGGGCCTGGGGGGAGGTGAGAGCTTTTATTTAATAGTCATAGGAAGAATAATTGTGTTTTCATGGCGGGTGAGGGATAATAAAATTAATCTAACTTGTTATTGAAACTACTCTGGGAGTTAAGAATTGTCTGTGTAAACTCAAATAGCATTCTCAGCCACCTTTTTTGCCTCAACTTCAAAAACTGAATTTCTAAGAGAATTGTCAGTAAAGATTGGCTGGGAAGAGAAATTCCTGTTCTACAGCTGAATCCCAGTGCTGAAGTAGTTGTTTGGGTTTTCTTTTCATTATTATGGAAATATAAATATTTATAATACATAGAAGCCTCATATACACTGTTGCTTTGATTGAAAAACACATTTTTCCTCTTCTGATAAAAAACAATATGGCTTAAACTAATTGTAAATTTAAGTGAATAGCAAAAAATTAAATAAAAAGTACATCATATATTCACAATAGTTCTACACTTTCATTGTTTATTTCTTCAGGTTCTTGCTTGTACTGCATTGTATTTATTTTATAAGTGTTCTTATGCTGAAGCTGACTTTATCATGATAATAGAAAACTTGAAACAGTTGTGTGGGGATAGAAATATCATTTTTGTCAACAAAGATTACTGGTTTAAAAATAGAAAATATTACTTTTCACATTTTGTTCTTTACTTTTTATAGTTTTTCAATTGGTATAATGTGTTTAAAAAAAAATAATTTACCAAAAGGACAGTAAAGAAAGGTTTCTCATTGTAAAAGAGTAAAGTTGGTTTTACATACTTTTTAAAGATTTCTAATCAGTTTCTTTTGCTTAAATTAGAACAAAGTCATCATTTTAACCTCGAGATTAAAACTTGGAAATAATATATTAATAGTTAATAACATATTAATATGACACTGATTGTCTGGAACATTGATAAGATTATGTTTAAAATAAAAAATAATACCATAAATAATTGTAGATTGAATTCAGATATTATAAGGTGTGTTTTGCTGTGTATGTACAATTGAGGTTCAGCAAGTACATAAGATTGAATTTTGATATTATAAGATGTGATTTGCTATGTATATACAATTGAGGTTCAGCAAGTACATAATATGTGATTGTTTTTTATAGTTTCCATATTATGAAATAGCAATCCAGAAACCTGTTGTGACTTCAAAATGGTTTTTCACGTAGAAGGGTTGATAGCTATCATTGTGTTCTACTTGGCCATCCTATTTGTTGGAATATGGGCTGCTTGGAAGACGAAAAACAGTGGGAGTGATGGAGATCGTAGTGAAGCTATTATAGTTGGTGGAAGAGATATTGGCTTGCTAGTTGGTGGATTTACCATGACTGGTATGTTTCACGCTTTTTACCTATTATTCAAGTATGTCATTTATAAGGTATTCTTTCCAAATATGTACCCTTTCCAAATATGAAACTTTGTAATCAGAGAAAGTGCTTATTAGTTTTCACTTAAACTAGAAGATCTGAATAGTTCTGAGAGGCTTCAACAGGTTCCTACCAAGTATTTGTACTGCAAATGGTGATTTGTATATCTGTCTTTGAAAATTACAATTTTCACTGAATTTTGCTTAATAATGCAACATGAACAGTATAAACATAGAGCCATTTCTTCTGTACATGCTCTTATTATTTATTACAAAGCTATCTAGTGAATGCATTACATTTCCCGTTTTTGTATCACTTTTGGTAAAATCAAAAAATAATAATGTAAACAAAAAAGTCATATCTATTTGCATAAGGAGCACAACAGGGAAAGATTAAAAGAGAATGCATTAATACACTTTAGTTCCAGCCAGACACCTCTATTCATTTCAACACAATTAGATGAGAAATGTACTTAAACTTCTTCATCGTGATTTAGCCAGATCATTTTGAACAGGGTGATTCCCAAATTAAATATTTTTAGTTAAGCCACCATAAGTAGAAATGGATAAGAATCCTAAAAATGTTTCAACAAAATTATTATTCTATGTAATGGATTTTGCCTAAGTAGAATTGGCCTGATTGTCTCCATAAGAGTGCCCCTTGATGTTATTTTCACAAATATCAGAAATGATGGACCATGAAGTCTCTATTTTTTCAAAATATTTGGACTCCATCATGTCAAACAATGAGTCACAGTTCCACTAAACGCACTAAAATATATAAAAAGACTGTGGCAGGCTTACAAACTGTCACGTAAGAATTGTATAAAATTCAATGAGATATGAAATGACACCAATCAAACAAAAGGATTTGTCTTTTAAGTGCTTACTGTTTTCTGAAGAAAATTCACCCGAGTCCCCAATTTTATATTATTTTTTATTTATCTTTGACTTTTTAATGCTTTGCCTTCAGTTTTCAAAAGCACATTATTTGGGCTTTGTTTTTAATTGAAGGATTAATTTAAATATTATATTATTAGTATTTGTAATTTTGATGACATTCTGGTTGCAGGCAAGAGTACAAATTTATAATAAGGAAAATTAAGTAAAATCCTGTGCTTTTTACAACATCAAATTTTGTTGCAAGAATCTATAGTTCTGTTATGATAAATACATAAATATGCACTACGAGCAATTGCTTTCATCTACTGGATTGCTATTTTCTAGTCATTCAGAGACACAACTGCCATCACTGGATTCTGAAGCTATATGGACTAAGGAAAATTATTTGGTAGATTATCAGTCCCAAAAGTATTTTTTGCCACATACTGTAACTCCACAATGATTTTTGACTTATAGATATTACAATATGCAAGATAACTATTTAATGATAAAATTGTACTTAATTTTGTCAATAAACTGAATACCAGTCCTGAGAACAATCAGAATTTTGTAGCCTGTTTTGCGCAGAAGACTGTCAACTGTCTAAAAGTACCTACATTAATATTTATAATAGGAAAATAAATTCTTCAACCAATTAATGTTAAAAATGAGGGTTTTTAAAAAAATAAATGTATCAGTTCACAAAAGACAGTTAACAAGAAATTACAGGGACCAAGTTAGAAGCATTGAGCAATAAAATGAAAATAAAATAAGTGACAACCTATTTCTATTTCCCTATTTTTATAGCTGTGTGTGTGTGTGTGTGTGTGTGTGTGTGTGTGTGTGTCTATGCATGTATGTTAATATTTAATTTCATTCGAATATTATGTAATTATATTGATATGAAAATTACACATCTGGTTTTATTCTGTGCCTTCAACTTTTCTTTAAATAGTTGTTCTCTAATTGTCCTGAAATTGGGACAATTAAATCTATAACCTACATTAAGCAATAAAATTAATATAACTGATAAGTTTAATTTTTCCCTTAATTTTTCTTCGTTTTCCCTTTTAGCTCTACTATTACGTATGCTATTCATGTTTTGCCTGTATTTTAAAATTTTATTTCAAAATAACTTTCAATTAAAAAAAAGAACTGTTAATAATAATTTATTGAAACTAAAATCAAAACTCTCTGCTAATCACAACTAAAACTAATCTTAAAAGAGTGGAAAAAGACTTTTTGCTACCTTTTCTACCATAAGCTTATGGAAAATATTCCATCCACCAAGGTCCAAAGGAGGGGAGCTAATATGACATGCACAGTTTGTTAATGTACATATAACTGAAATAATTATATGAGATATAACATTAATGTATGAATGAAACAATTATAATAGCACTGAATAGAAAACAGGCTCTCCCTAATATAAATACCCTGTAGTGTATTGAGTTGTAAAGGAGTGGGGTATAAGATTGGGGTGATGGATTTAAAACAAGGACATGAATGACTAAAATAACTTTTTATTGCTACATGATGTGCTATTTCATTGTTATTTATTTTTATTTTAAATGAGGACTTGTTTTTATGGTGTTGATATCTTGGATTTCGCTATTTATTCTTTGCCCAGATGTTGGTAATGGAGAATTTGAAAACATAATAAATAAGTCATCTGTAATTTATTGAAAGAGAATAGACTCCAGAAAAAAATATTTTAATAATAATATTTAGAAAAAGAAATAGTTCTATTAGTTCAGCTGAACAGTGATGTAAAAATGTTCTGTTTGATGTTCTTTTTAAAATAAATCTATACCGAAAGGAGTATAGGATTGGAGTATAGAATTCTTTTCTTCAGTGATGTCAATTATGTTCTTTTGCAGGGTTTTTCTATATCATTTTTCTACAAACTTTCCTATCCTACCCATGAAATTCCACCTCAGTGTGCTAAATTACCAGTATAATAGCACTACTGGTAGTCCTCAGGTTAGACTGGTAATTGGGACTATCAATAAGCAATGTGATCGGAAACCCACATGTGACCGTATCACTTAGCAATGAAAATCCAGCAGTGCCCATTCCTATCGTTAACTAAATATGACCAATCATTAGACTAGGACCTTCCCCAATCCAAATCACTTCTGAATTGGTTCTTCCCAGCCTTGAGCCTTGCTAAGGCAAGGGACTGCCTCTTCTTCAATTGTCCTCATCCACTTATCTGGAGCGTGGTAGTTCACGAGCTTTAAAATATGGGGCTGATGATCAGCAGCTTGCATTCAAGACCCACTGTTGCCACAGGGCAAGGTGAGCTTCCATCACATGCTCCAACTTCTGCTGACACAGCAATTTGAAAGCAGTGACCACAAGCAGATTAATAGGTACCAGTTCAGCAGACAACTTCACTGGGACACAAAAGGAGCCCCCAACTGGGTGTCCTCCAGGCATCAGTGATGTCACTGGAAAATACTTTCATCACAGAAGTAATCCAACTATCTTCCCCTGCCCAAGAACTCTGTCCTTTCAGTTACCTCGCATTCTGTCACCTTTGCTGTCCTGTGCTTACTGAGCCTAACAGCCCTGCAGGGCTTCAAGCACTTTATGGTCATGGTGCTAAGACTGCTGATGGTCCCAGGGCTCTACTTCAATCCCAGTGCCACTACTGTCACTAAGGAGTGCTACAATGCCAGACTGCAAATGTCCAGAGATTGGGGAGGAATAGAGAGGTGGGGAGAGCTAAAGCAACCCTTCCAAACACCTGTATTTTGATCACAAGATTTCAAGGGCATTGAAATGGCCACAACTTAGGAGACTGGGAGTAAATAGCATTTGTATACCACTGCCAGTCATTGAATAAATGTTCATAATTGGAGACAATATCTATAGGGTTTCAACCCCCTCCTCCCCATATTATTCTTGGTTTGTGTGTGGAAAGTGCTACTTTGGCTAGAATAGGACTGCAATATGGATAATGTAAGATTTGCTACAAAAGCCAGCAATGCTGTCTGAATGTGCCAGACCTATCCATGTTTCTTGTTATATCAATTGTCTGCCATCATGCAGTTAAAATTCTGTTAGTTTTCATTGGCTTTTCAGAGCCATTCCATTCCATGTTCTTTTCACTCTATTATGTGGCATCAACACAAGGAGAATAAACAATAGGACTTTGTTTTCATTCAATAGTCATAGTTTCCTAATATACTTTGCTTCTACTTCTATTTCTTGTAACAAGATATTAAATTGTTGTGTGCTGTTGTTTTATAAATCTGGCTGGAAAGCCTTCAGAAAAATAGGAGGGATATAAATTAATATTATTGTTAGTATTTATATTCTCATCTTTGACTAGAAGTAAAGTATTAACAATTTGCAGACTGATTACATTCCACTGATTTTACAATATCCTATTTCTTTGGTAAGAAGGAATATCAGAATAATATCTATATTATTTTTCCCCATTTCTATTACTTATACATAGGCCAGAGTGCTTTATAATATCCCCCTATTATCTGTATAGGGGTATTATTCATCCTTAGGCATAGGAATTAGGCAATGTTTTATATTTGGACAATAGATTAATCTCTACTATGACCCTAGGAAGTCATTCCAATAAATAGCACAGTTTGTACTATTTTCACTTATTTTATTGAGATTTTAGAGATTTATTGCTTGCCATCCCAATGGGGAAAAATGACATGGTGGCTCAGTGGCTAAGACGCTGAGGTTGTCAATCAGAAAGGCTGGCAGTTTGGCTGTTCAAATCCCTAGTGCCGCATAACTGAGTGAGCTCCTGTTACTTGTCCCAGCTTCTGCCAATCTAGCAGTTCAAAATCATGTAAAAATGCAAATAGAAAAATAGGGACCACCTTTGGTGAGAAGGTAATAGCATTCTATGCACCTTCAGCATTTAGTCATGCCGACAACATGACCACAGAGACATCTTCGGACAGCGTTGACTCTTCGGCTTTGAAACAGAGATGAGCACTGCCCCCTAGAGTTGGGAATGACTAGCACATATGTGAGAGGGGAATCTTTACTTTTACCTTTATCCCAATGGGGAGGGGTTTTTCTTCTTTTTAAATCTATATTAAGCTGTTAAAAATCGCCCAAAGTAGTACCATTCAGCTTCAGAATTATGGGGCTTATTGAGGCACATTTATTAAACATTAAAGCAGCCTGTTCTGAAAAATATGCCACTTGTATCAGATAGCAAATGTGGACATAGGAAAAATGACCTGGACCAGATTAAGGAAACTTAATCAGATTTTAATTTGAGTTTCTGTGTGAAATACCCTTTGGTACAACTGGGGGTCAGTTCTTCCAGGGATCATCAAGAAAAGGCTAAGGCTAACCAATGGAGCCCTAAGAATTACACTGAGTCAGTTTGCTCAAAACTGTACTTCCAACTGAAGGAAGTTATTAGTTCACAGAAATGAAGAAGGAAGAAAGTCAGAGAATGCCAAACTAATTGTTGCCCATAGAAATACAGATAGTCCACAAATGAGCCCAAAATTTGTGTTGCTAAGTGAAACATTTGTTAAGTGAGTTTGTCCCATTTTACAACTTTTCTTGCCCCATTTGTTAAGTAAATCACTGTAGTTGTTAAATTAGTAACACCATTGTTAAATGAATCTTGTTTCCCCATTGATTTTGTTTGTCAAAAAGTCACAAAAAGGAATCACATGACTCTGGGACATTGCAACCGTCATAAAGATGTACCAGTTGCCTAGCATCCAAATGTAAATTATGTGATAATGGGGATGCTGCAATGGTCATAAGTGTGAGAATTGTTCGTAAGTCACTTTTTGCAGTGCCATTGCAATGTTGAACAGTCACTAAGTGAACATGTTGCAAGTTGAGGACTACCTGTACAGAGGTTTCACCTGGAATATCTCTACAGGTAGTTCTCAAGTTACAACAGTTCACTTAGTGACTTTCAAAGTCACAGTGGCATTGAAAAATTTATGACTTCTTCTAAGTCAATGGGGAAGCCAGATTCACTTAACAGCCATGTTACTTAAGAACCATGTTACTTAACAAATGTAGTGATTCACTTAACAACTATAGCAAGAAAAATCATAAACTGAGTCAAACTTACTTAACCAATTTTTCACTTAGCAGCAGAAATGTTTGGCTCAGTTTTGGTCATAAGTTGAGGATTACCTGCACTCCTTTTGGAAACCAGAGATGGCTCATTAGTGATGATACCAGTCTGCATTCTCCTTGTGTCCAACCAACAATTTCAGTCCAAAAATAGAATTATTATTCAGCAACTTTATACTATTGGTAATCTTGAATGTCTCTTCAGAAAATGACAGAACCAATGATGGCCATTACTTATGAATTAGTGTGGATCCATGATGTATTTCTTAGTTCTTAAAATATTTTTGAAGGGCAACCTGTAGGAGACATAATCACTGCCATTTTAATAAAGTATTTCACTAAATATCTGAACATTCTCCCAGCCTGACTAATGATACATATCTTTGTGAGCTGTGCTAAAGTGCTCAGTATGATAGTGATGCTACTGAGAGTCAGTTAACTAGGTACTCAGAAAAGAGCTACTTAACAGTACTTCACTGCCATTTGTTCTGTGAGTGAAGATGAGACGTTTGTAGAAAAACAGAGCCTAAGAAATTAAAAAAGAGTCTAAGCAAAGGCAAAGAAACAAGAACATTTAGGCTAGTATTTAGAGGTATGTATGTATGACAGTTAAATTTTACTTTTATTTTTCTCTCTCTTTCCCATTACTTATTTAAATAGACTAAACATACTAATTTTTAGTGTATAATGTAAATTTGCAAATTACGTAGGTGCAAATAGGTCTTTAGATGAGATGTGATTTTGTGCAATACTCTTCATTATATTATTTTTGCCACACAAATTGATTATTTAGTTTTGTTTTCTCCATCCATTGTGTAATGGATGTCGTTCACTTCTTCCACAGCCACCTGGGTTGGAGGCGGTTATATAAATGGAACAGCTGAAGCAGTGTATGTTCCAGAGTTTGGACTTGCCTGGGCCCAGGCACCCATTGGGTATTCGCTTAGTCTAATTTTAGGTAAGCTAAAGATGGAAACAAAGCAGAAGAAACATATCTTGTTAAAATGACAAAGATAAAGTTGAAGTCAATATAATATTTGTTCCTGTGTTTCTCTTTCATTGTAAATGAATTTTGGGAGGATGAATAGAGCCAGCAATAGAGATGGTATTTGCAAAACTACCATATGTTTACTACTATCTTGTAACAAGATATTAAGTACAAAATTCTTATCAAAGCCTGGTATTTAGTGTTTTTGTTGTGGCCAGTATTTTTTAAAATTTATGGGAAACTTAGAGGAAGATCCTTCTCTTATTTTCCTCTCCATATTGAGTGGCATCAAAAATTAATCACTTTTAGATTAAACTATTAGATTAAACTTTTAGTCACTTTTAAATTAAACTATTTACTAAACAAGTGAAAAGTGATGGAAATTAAGTCCTGTTCGTTTTTCTGAATCATAGAATCAAAAGCTTGGGATAGTTTAGGCCATTGTCCAACTTCTTGTTCAGGCCAGGAGTACCAATTAAAGCAATTAAGCAAATGGGAATACAACCTTTGCTTTAATAAAGCCAACCCAGTTTTGTAACAAATTACTTTTCACTACAGATTGTTTTTTCCTCAGCTGGGATGACTGCTCTACATAAGACTAACTAAAGGAGTTGCACACTTTAAGTCTGTGTCCAAGTAATAATTTCTATTCTTTTACTAAAAGACCTAGTACTGATTATAATATTCCACTTGTCATTGCATTATCGATCAGTAATAGTAACAACTATAAGAACCTCAATTCCATTACTATGTAGCCACTTCAACAATCCTGGGGAAGACTTATTAGATTGTTATATTATGGAAAATTCTTTAGATATCAGTTATGTCTCTCATAAGCAGACTGATATTACATCTATTAATCCAAACCTCCTCCATTTTTACAGCTGGCTACTTGATCCAGAAAAATAATTTGAATCCATTTTTTTAATGAATCTTTTAGGTGGCTTGTTTTTTGCAAAGCCCATGCGTTCCAAAGGGTATGTGACAATGTTGGATCCATTTCAGCAAACTTATGGAAAACGGATGGGAGGGCTTATCTTCATACCTGCCTTGATGGGAGAAATGTTCTGGGCAGCAGCCATCTTTTCAGCGCTAGGTAAGAAATTCTGCAAACAATTGTATACAATCAGTCTGAATAAGGATAAAATATGCAAAAAACTAAAAATGTTCTTTTTTAAAAAAG